CAACGGTCCGGCTAAATCGACCCCTGTTACCTCAAACGGTGCACTTGCATCTGTGCGATTTTTAGGTAATTTCGCCGGCTGTACTTGTTGTGGTTTTGCTTTATACCTTTTGCAAATGACACATTCCTTTACGACCTTTTTTACCAATCTTCTTACGCCAATAATCCAAAGGGTCTCCCGTAAATTTATGATGAGAGTTTGAGTCCCAGCATGGTGTAAAAATTTATGACGTTCTTCAACGAAACGTTGAACTATGATATCACGAGCTGGTAACACTATTGGACACTTAAAATCGTAATTGTCAGCTGTGTCATCTAACCTTGTAATTAAACGACGAATGTTGTCTTTATCAATAAATGTTTGTAAGTTATTTATTATACTATTATGTCTTGCTTGAATTAAACGGAATAAAGCTTTCTCTGCGCGATCAATTTCATGAAGAGATAAATCTGTATAAAATTTGTTAGATGATTTATATCTAAACCTTAACATCCAAGCAACCATTCTGATTATTTTTGAGTAAGATGAAAAGTAGGTTAGACGATCCAAAAAACACATATCTTCTACCAATAATAATTTTACAGAAGGCTTTTGTATTTCTTCATCTAACTGATGTGTATCTAATGAAAAATTAGTAGACGGCCAACGGTCAGAATTTAAATATAGCCAGGATGGACCGTCCCACCATTTGGATTCAATAAGTTGCTTAACACCAACACCTCTAGATGGTAAGTCTGCTGGGTTAAGATTCCCTGGGACATGTCGCCAAGCTTGTCGATCGGAATAGGTTCTTATTTCTCGTACTCTATTAGTGACGAAAACACTCCAATCGCCTTCTCCTTTAACCCAACACAAAACTACACTAGAATCAGTCCAGTAAAATACTGGGCAATCATTTAGATTTAAACTTGACAGTGCTACATTACCTAATCTAATTGCCAAAATAGCAGCTAACAATTCAAGGCGCGGTATTGTGATCTTTTTGGCTGGAGTCACTCTCGCCTTTGCCATCACTAAACGTACAGAAACTTCGCCTTTAAATTCAGAACGAAGAAAAATACAAGTAGCGTAAGCACTTTTACTTGCATCACAAAATACATGTAATGAATTCTGACACAGTGAAATATCATAACACGTTAATCGCCTTGGTATATTAAGTTCACAAATTAAATATAACTGGTCAGTCCACTTCCTAAATTCCTCACATAAATATGACGGCAACTCTTCGTCCCATGAAATTTTATGTGCCCATGATTTCTGTAGTATTATTTTTGGGATAATCGTTGTGGGACAGCAAATGCCTATCGGGTCGAAAATTTTATGAACTATTGACAGCAAGGATCTTTTTGTGATTCGTTCGCTAAGTCTATCTATAAAGTTCACATTACAGCTCAACTGATCTTTGTCTATATTCCATACTATACCCAAAACTGAAGTTGTTGTCGTGTCCTCTAATTTGACCGGGCCTGAAACCCAGCCACGCAAATCGAACATCCCACTCGACATAACTTCTCGAGCCTCCTGCACGAACTTCTTTAATGCGTCTACAGAATTTACACTTGTCACACAATTGTCAACGTAAAACGCTCTTTTAAGTTTTATTGCAGTTTCCTTTAAATTGGGTGGTGCGCGTTCTAGATGAAAATTTATTGTAGCTGCAAGATGGAAAGGACTAGACTTAATACCAAATACTACACGCTTATGACGATAAACAATTATATTTTTATTTGGGTCATTTATATCAGACCACCAAAGAAATTTTAAATAATCCCGGTCTTCGGGAACAAGTGAAATTTGAAGGAATGCTTTGGCTATATCAGCAGTAACTCCAATTGCTTCCTTTCTAAAATCAATTAAAATATTAGGTATTAATTCGATGAGATTTACACCTTTTTCTAAACAGCTATTAATAGATATGCCATGACTGTCTTTGGCCGATGCGTCAAAAACAGGCCTCACCTTAGTCGTCAGACTCGCTTCTTTAATTACAGCATGGTGGGGTAAAAAGTGACCTGACATAGAATTTTGACATGGCGCCTTTTCTATAATTCCTAATTTTAGCCATTCATAGAAAACCTCATCATAACTTTTCATTTTACCTAATGATTGAAGGCGCGTTGTAGTCGATAACAACCTCTTTTTTGCTAACTCAAAATTAGAACTAGGCCGTGGTATACCGTCTCGCCATGGCAAACAAACCTCATACCTATTCTCGTTATTAAGATGGATTGTCGACTCAAATTCATCTAATACTGCTTTCTCACGAAATTTAACAGTTTCCTGTTCGCAAGGATCTCGAATCCCCAACGCTTCTAAGTCCCACAGTTCCGAAATATTCATAATAGGCGAGGAGTGGAGAGTCGTACTTACAGTCGAAGCGAAGGCACCTGTAATGGGACCTTGTATTGTCCACCCCACCTTTGTACGTACTGCAGTCAAATTGTTTTCGAGCTGTATAAAATCACCAGTCATTAACATACCTGAAAAGTCCGCACCAATAAGTACAGTCACGTCATCAGGAGTAGAAGTTGTGTCAGTTAAAGTAATACCCTTTCGTTTTAATTGCTCGATCAATACATTAGATCTAACTTTAGGCAAGACTCCACAAATATATTCCTGTCCTAAAACAGAAAGATTCATACAAAAATTATCATTACACAAGCTTATCAAACATATGTTGTAAACAAAATGTTCATGTGAAGTAGTTTCAACGCCGCCGAATAAACAATGTGTAAGTTTCTCCGTATGTGATGGTGTCAATCCTAATTCTTTCGCTAAATTATTCTTGATGTACGATCTTTGAGCACCGGTATCTATGAGTGCGCGAACTAAAATCTCTTTATTGTTTGAAACGAGTTTCACGACTATAGTCTGCAATAAAGTTGTAGTTTCTAATTTGCATAATAACTCTTCGGATTTCTTTATGGGTACTGAAATAGTTTCTGACTTCAACTCTGATACTTTACTCTCTGGTAAATTTTGACACATTATAGTGACATGACGTTTCTTGCAAAACAAACATTTTGGAAAATATTTGCACTTCTTAGCATTATGCGACTTTTTTAAGCAAATTAAGCATGCCTTTTTAGATTTAACAAACTCTAATCTTTCTCTCGGCGTCATTCTCGAAGCTTTATGACACTCTGTAGGTGCATGTGTATCTTTATCACACCACAAACACTGAACACATTTCACCGAAACTGAACGGTTATTGTTGGTCACATCAGAAATAAAACAAGCTGTAGGAGGTTTTGGCGATGAAGTTGACGGGACGTTCATTAATGAAAGCTGAGTAAATCCTTGACGAGCTAAATTTATTCGTTCTTCAGACTCTACTTCTTCCTTTAGAAAAATCATTATTGAACTCAAGTCATCGTCGTCATCTCCTTCTTTTGTAATTGTTCGTCGCTCAGAACGAATACGATTCCATGATCTAAGCAACTCTTCGGGTAACGTACTTTCTATCATAGGGTACAATATAGAAGCGAACTTATCCTTGGTTACTTTTAGTGTATCTAGTGCTTGAAGATGAGTTTGTAGACTGTCGTACAATTGAGATAAACTGCATGACTCACCTTTTAACTGAGACCACACTAAACTTAACAGACCTCGAACATATGTTTCTATGAGCATATCATCACGTGCAAAACGAGCTTTCAGTGCATTTATAACCTTATCATAGTTGTCTGCACTCGGTGGATAGCTGCGGACAAGTTGACGAGCTGGACTGTTTTCTGTAGTTGATTGTATTAGATATTGAAACTTGTCTATGCCGTTGATATCTGCGTCCATATGAATTTTTTGAAATTGACCCCAAAATTGGATCCAATTACGTACATCTCCATCGAATTTGGGTAGTTCTAATAAAGGCATCTTGAGATTCTTTTTCTTAATTTCTGACCTCACAAAACGCTCATTCTCGTTAGAACATACACTAGAAATATGGTTTTCTGTGTGCGACGCACTGTGGCTCCTCAACTCGTACTTTGCACGTATTTCTGCCCACTTCGTTCTGTACTCCAAAGCTTTATCTTGATCATCTTGGAATGATTTTTCATCAAAAGACTCACTTTGGTAAAATGCTTCTGATAGTTGCTCTTCAACGTTCTGTAACCTTTCCGATGCATCTCTTACTGCGATGAACGTAGTTTCTATGTTGAGAGCATGTTCCGGTACGGTGAGTGCTTCTTCGAAATTTTTCACTGTGGTTGAAAATTCACGCCGGAGTTGCGTCCTTTTGCGTTTTAAGACTTCCATAATTGATTTTTATTAAACGGTCGCCACTAATATCACGGAATTCGGGGAATTATGGGAGACTAAAGTAAACGCCACGGCCATTTAAACGCAACTGTTTATTGGTAACTCCTAGCAACAAAACAAAAGTACAATCTGTCACACTCATGAAAGCGGTCTAATAAATCACAAAGTAGTTTATTTCGTTTTCAGAAATTAAGAAGTCAATGATTGATTAAAAATTTGTTTCTTAATACGTTCCACTGACTGACAACAGCTGACTAAGAGTTGAATGTAAATGTGTGTGAATTTAATATCTCCGAAACTATTTTACCTAGACATATTTTTTTTTTACATCTTATAGACAAATGGTAGGTACTCTCCAGTAACCTCGGGAGGGTCGCTGGAACCATAGAGAAGATTGAATAAAGGCTGGAACTGTTCCACCGGGTATTTTGTCTATTTGTATTTAATTGGCCTGTGGTATGCTTACTCTGTGGAAAAATACTAAAATGTTGCCAGGATACGAAGAAAAACTAATTTTCATTAATTTTGAGAACATTATTTGTTCATATTTTTAAGACTTTTGGGATTTCTGTTGTACAAAACAGATGATCAGAATATTAATCATATAAAGCTGTATTATTGAAGATGAAAAAATATTATGTTATATGTATTTCATTGAATGAGACAACTAAAAACTATTTACTCAAGATTTTTTTTATTTTATTTTCTGTACTTATAGTCCGATTCTGATAAACAGAGCTAGTAACATTGGTTCGTGACTACGCTTCGGTCAGAAAATCTCTTGCTACGCATTTATGGGATTTTTTGATATAATAATTGAATTTCATCAAGAAAATTATCGTCTAATTCATCTCAGTTAAGGTAAGGGAGTAAGTTAACCCTCCGGAAGTACTGGAAAGTGATTATTTATTATGTTCATATATATTTCCTTCTGTATCACAGCCATGTTGAAGTAGTGTTGATTTTCTAAGTTTTCACCAGTTTTATCGTTATAAAAAAGTTAAAGTTGTTCACAAGTAAATGTGACAGACCCAAGTTTCGTTTGTGTTGTGATTATAAAGTTGAAAAAGTCTTTCCAATATGAAAAGTGTTAAAAGTGCCACCGATACTGGCTTCGAGGCGTCGTCTGTAAGGTAAGGCTGGACGTGTCTTCAATATACATCAGAACGTAGAATTAAAATCTAAAAATCATAATAATTGACTTAAAAAATCTATGCTTTAAAAGTTGCATTTTCATTTTAAACAAGTCAGCTTTGACATCTTCATTTTTTTGCAGGTATATTTAGTGTTCATTACCAAAGTTTAATTCTTATTATAAATTGAAAGTATGTTCATAAAATAATGATTTTTGGTCATAAAATTGATATAATAACCTATAAATAAGAGTATAATTGTGATGAAAGTTGCAAGGTGTATATTTTATATTAAAGTGATTTTTCATATTTTCTGATTTTTCAATAAAATAAAAAAAAAAATATTTTCACATTTTAGAGTCTTTAACTCTAAAATGTGAAAAATCTGAATTTTTTGAAATTTTGATATAACACTTATACTAAACAATTATTTTTGTGTGACTATTACTAACAATAATAGTATGGATTTAATATTATGGCAAAAGTAAAGCTTATGGGTTGGGTTTGAAATTACAGATTTAACATATTTATTATAAATTGCCATCTAATTTCAGGCATGGATTCAGAAGATTCAAGAGGTGGTGGTACTGGGGATGCTCGTTCGTCATCAAGTAGTAGCAGTACCAGTTCAAGGAGTAGACGGAGCTCATCATCAGATAGAAGTGAAACTTCTAAAAAAGATGATAAACCACCCAGATCACCATCTTCACCAAAGTCTGAAGGTCCTAGGTCACCTTCACCAAAGTCAGAAGGTCCCCGATCACCTTCACCAAAGTCTGAAGGCCCTCGATCACCTTCACCAAAGTCTGAAGGCCCTCGATCACCTTCACCTGAGAGTAGATCTCAGTCACCTTTATTACGATCCTCATCGTCACTTAAAAATCCACGGTCCCCTGGTAATCTGAGTGAAGCTCATTCTGATATCAATTCACCAGAAAATTCAATGCCAGGCTCACCACTGGCTTCTAAATTGCTTGATGCACCTAAATCGCCTAGTGATATGGGCTCCAATGTTGGTTCACCAGAAAGGGCTGGTCATTATTCTTCAGCTCCACCTTCTGCTAGTGACGGCCCTAAAACCCCACAGAGCCCTAGTTCTGCTCCAGGTTCCCCTAGTTCTAGGTCCCGTCCAGTTTCTCCAGATTCGAAATCTCTGTCTGACAAGAATGCAGATGCACATTCTCAGTCCTCTAGTGCATCACCAGATAGGGCATCATCAAGATCTCCGATTAGGTCACCTCAAGCAACTAAAAAGGTATGGAGCCCAAAAGAAAAATGGAGACGTCACACAAAAGCAGAGCAGAAAATGGTACCTATAATGAGGGAACGAAGCAGATCCGAGTCTAGTCAATCTAGTAGAAGTTCATCATATAATAAAAGACGATCAAGTGCAAAGGACCCTGCTACTGAAGAAATTTCTGATGGTAAATATTTGGTAATTATTTTGTTAGTAGATACATCATTCATTGCAGTACCTGTGATCATGTAGAGATGAAGCAGGCCAGATACTGGTGAATAAATTCACCATTTTCTCAATACAGTAGAGCGTCGATTATCCGAACTAATTATGGGACAGGGGTGTTCGGAAAACCGGTTTTTTCGGATAATCGAACTGTTTTTGTTATTTCTGTATTGATATAGCCATACATATTTTTTTTTTATCGACCTTCATAATTATATCTTTATTGAAAAATAGGAATTAAAAAACAAATAAACTGAAGTATTTGCAACAAAACACTCTGAGTACAATATTGGCGAAAATCGAAGAGCATTAAGTGTAATTTACTAATGCTTAAAAATCTTCAATTCTTGTCTGCCGAAGCAAGCCTACCCGTTTACGAGCGGCTAGGTCACGTATTTTTTAAGGACATATATTTGATACTGGTCGTTCTCGACTTGTGTTTCAAACTAACGCAAGGCAATATCTAAGCAAGTAAAGGCTTCTGAGGCACCAATTATGTTTTTATCTTCATTATCTGAACTTGCAGTAGATGAAGTGGTGTCAGTTTTATTAGTCATCGGATTTAATATTATAGAAATTGAATATTGTTGAAGGGAGAGTCGGGAGTTCGGATAAGCGGTCGTTCGGTTGATCGACGTTCGGATAATCGACGCTCTACTGTATTTTATATAGGGCATATTGTACCACAATAGGTTATGGGCACCTTCATTTATATAATACGTTAAAAAATGATTGTTTTATCAATATAATCAAGTGGCAAATGTGTTAAATAATACCAATTAGACGATAATTTTCTTGATGAAATATTTCTCATTTATAGGTACGCGGCGATTCTGCTTGGCTTTGTATTTCGCTGTAGAGCTATTGTCCGTCTAGTGCTGCTTTGCGATTCTATATAAATCCTATCCCGAATTCGAATTCGCTTAGGTGTCCGAATTCACATCAAAAGTGACATCTGCTCATCCTGGAATTGGTAGTAATGTTTCGTGGCGTAAGTGAAGTGCCTTTCGAAATGACATAGAAATGGAATATCTTAGTTTTTGAATGTCTAGGAATATATGCATATGAATCTATCAATCTTGATTTTTAAAAAAAATGGAATCAATTGAATTGCTATACTAAATGACGTGAGTGAATTCGAATTTGGATTCGGATATTTACAGAATCGCTCTGCTGCTTTCAGATAAATTCTTTTTAAATAAAAAAAAAAAACGATAAATTATACACAGTATACTGGTCTATGGATAGATGATACATATCTTTTACCAATGCTTGCATAATACTTTGAGTAATTGTTTGTCCCTACTTGCCCTAGGATAATACTAACATAACCTAAACCAGTGATAACTTCTAATCTAACACCTATAAACTGTTGATGTTCACAATTTTACAGTGACATATTGTGTCTTGATTGTTACCTATTCAAGCAAAGTGTTTTAAAAGCACCAAATTCAAACCCTATTTTAAAAAAAAGCCAAATGTTTTAGGTGAAATGGAATCAGACCAAGAAGAGGGAAACTCACAAAGTAAATCAGTAACAAGTGACAAGAATGATGGAAAAGATCTCAATATAAGCCATGAAGACTTATCTGATGTGTCTGACTTAGACTCTGTTGGACCAGAGGATTCAGAAAAGGAAGCAAAGGTTTTAAACCATTTAATTTGACATAAAAAAGTGTTTTAAATAAGAAATAATACATTAAATATGGAATTTTATATTTCAGAGAAAATTACCTCCTGCATCACCGGAATATAAACCGGATATAAATGTGAATGGGAATATCACTGCAAGTGCTCATTCCTCCCCTAAGTCTGATAGTGGAAGTGTTAAAATTGAATCACAAAAATTAGAAAAAGTAAGCAATTCAGTATATTGATATTTGACACATTGTCATTATAAGTGTTTTATATTAAATTTATTATTAGGTTCCTCAAGAAAAGACAAGTAATACTGAAGATGGGGAAGAACAGCTTGATTTTGAAGCAGAAGAAGGTGAATGTATTGAACCTAAACAATTAGAGGCCAATGGAGATACAGATGTTAAAGGACAAGAAAAAGGTAATGTCAAGATTTTTTTTATCTTGTTATTTTAAAAGCAATTAAATAGCCAACCATTTTTTCCCTCTTGTTGTTGATGGTTTACCGAAGTATGTTTGTCCCAAACTATATGGAATAAACCTCTATACTTTTTCTATCTTTATTTAAGTTCCACTGTTAATTAGTTTAAAGAGTGATACATGTAATAATGTATCTAAAATAAAACAAATTTATAATACCTATTTTCCTTATAATGCTTTGTCATTAACATATTTATTATTATTTCTCAACAACAGACGAAGTTTAGGAAAATTTAATTTATTTAATAATACCAATAACAAATATATTCAATGTTTATGAAAGTATACTTAAAATAAAAAAAGGTTATAAAATATTAGGAATTATTTATACCATAACCTGGGAATCGAACCTGAGATGGTAATAAAATCAAGAATTAAAACTAAAATACCTAGCATTCGGACAATGTATCAGGTATAATTAATTTTTAGCAGACAAAATTAAATATCAATGTAAGGTAGAAAAATAACCCAGGACTCCGTTTTATTCCAATATAATTATTTATATTGAATTTTATGAATATTTTTACTTTAAGTATAGCAAAAATGTTATAATATTTCCTTAAATATCTATTTCACTTTTATTGCAATAGAATAAAAATATTGTCGCATATTATGTTAAGAACTAGATCGGAATTAATGTTCAATGAAAACATTAAATATTATAAAACAACAAAATAGTTTGAGAATTCAAAGTTTTATTGGACTTGTAAGCAAGCAGTAACAACTTAAAATAATTAGAACACCGATTTTGGGGTTATTAACACTTACTTAAAAAGATATTTGAAAATGGAGTATTGCCGCGCGAGAGGTCGTTTATATACTAATTCACCATCAGGAGTCGCGCTGTATTCCTATGCCTACCTATCTTCATAGAATAATTATTACTAGTGTACCTATGATTACTTTTAATAATGATTCCTTTAAATATTTAAAATGGCGTTTATTTATATTAAAACGTAAAAAAGAATTAAGTGTATCAGCTAAACGTGCGAAAGAGAAACAGTTTTTTTAGTAAACTGTACCAATGCAGACAAAATCGTAGTCGTAATAATTATTTAAGCTAATTTGTAAAGATTTACTTGAAAAAGTAATTAGTCCATTGAAAATTGTGAAGGTAATAGTTGGTAAATTAAAAATTATCCGCAGCTTTTAACATATTTTAGGTACTAAGGTAATTTTCACCAGCACTCGTAGCTTGACAAACTCTAGAAGTTTTGTCTATAGCATGATAATCTCGAGAAGTTTTGTCTGTACCCAAATGTCAATGTTACTGTGCGCCCATACGTTAGCTCACTCCCTGCTCGAGAAAAATGACGTTTGGTGTAGCTTTTCTCGAGTTTTGTGAAGCACCGGATACTGGACCACTTTCCCTCGCGATGAGAAAGAAGAACAACCATATTTTTGATGTGTACTATCAGTGCCGGCACAATGAAACTTTGGGCCTTAGGCAAAACACTGATATTCACGTTAACAACAGATGAGGTGAAACCTGGTCGTCGATCACGTGGTTCATCATTGGAGGAGGGTGAGGTGTCGGATGAAGCAGAACGTCGCCCGGAGGAGAGTGAGCCGCGACCTGTCTGTCGGTTCTTTTCTAGAGGTGCCTGCACATGGGGTGTCAGTTGCAGGTATAACTTTATGTTGAATTCACATTATGAAAATTGTTGTAAGAAAGTTATGTAGACATCCAACTTCTACAATGCATATATTGCGGAGCGCATGTTTTTGTTGAAACTTCTTTCACTTAACTAATTGCAGCTATAATATGTGCGACCCAACAGTATGGTCTCGCGTATAGTAAAGCTGCAATGTTGGCGGAGCCCTAGCCAGTGTCTCAGAGATACTGTTGATTGCACGCTATTACGAAAGTAGTTTCATATGTGTCGAAATTAGTTAAATTCGCTTTTAGTTTCATGCAACTACTTTCGTATTGTAAATACGGCGTTACGACATATAATTTTATATAAGGTTAAGGTACGGCACTTGACTTAGATGTAGGTATTTAGATTTTCTTTTTTTTATTAACTAAGACTAATGCTACTAATAATATAAAAGTGAAAGTTTATAGGTTTGGATGTTTGTTACTTCTTCACGCAAACATTTATTGATGAATTAATTTCCATATTATAAGCGACCTGTTTGCTTCCCTAATGCTGATTAGTTCAAATGTTTCAATGTATCAATTGTATACTAGGTTCTTGCATCCTGGTGTAACGGATAAGGGCAATTACAACATGTTTGACGTAGTGAGAGGCGTGCCCTCTAGTGGACCGTATAGTTCAGCGCCGCCAAGAGATACGGCACCTCCAGAGTCTGCTTGGGAGCGCGGCCTGCGAACTGCAAAAGAGGTTAGTTTATACATCAGTCAAAATATCTTATTAAAAATATGTTCAAACACTTACAGTATGGCTGGTTCACCAGTTCAAAGAGCTCAGCAAGCTATGGAATATGTTATGCTAAGAATATCTCTGAGGTGTAAAATTCATAATGATGACATCTGATAGAGAATTTATGTGTAATAAATACATATATGTAAACTGAAGTGGTAGTGGGCTGGCCATATCTGTCGACGAACCAATAACCGACGAGGTAAGAGAGTTCTAGAGTGGAGACCGCGAATCGATAAACGTGGTGTAGGAAGACCTCCAACAAGGTGGAGCGATGATTTGACTTTAAGCTGTCAAGAAGAACAAGCAAAAATCTCACATAACTCTAACAAAAGTTACGGCATTTATAAAAATTGTGTCAAATCTTTGAAAAAAATGTTGACGTTGGTACTAAATATTGAAGTGTGATTAAAATAGCTATTATATTACTTTGTCATTAGATGCTTCGAATAGCAAATAAGCGTAAGGAGCAAGATATGGACTTTGAAGAGAAGAAACTCCACCTGTCAGTTGGTGGAGTGGTCCATGACCCAGACGCAGAACTGGCATACGCCGCCGCAGCCGTGGGCGCTTCGCCCCCCAGACTCGCACATGATATGATACCACATAGAGACCCGGAGACTTTCAGCAGGTATGACATTAAAACGGGACTAATCGATAACAGTAATTATGGATATTAATCTTTTGTATTATATACTATATACTGCCATATTCTCAAGTAGATTTTGAGTTATAAACTATCGGTTTAATTATAAAACAGAACCAACTGTAGTACCAGGTATAAACCAACCAGAATAAATCAACACGTCTCGATGTTACATTTTCTCTTGTCATTGTCAATTTGATTTAGTCTGCCTATGGTAGAAACCAAGTATTCATTTAAGTCCTTGTTTTATATTTGATAAAATTTATTGATCTTTGTTTCTCAGGTCATACGGTCCAATGTATCGCGGTAGGTACTTACGACCAATGGAGGAACGTGAACGTTTCTATGAGCCGGAGCGCGGTTACGAACGCGAACGTATGTACGAGCGTCCGCCACACTACGATGAACGTGGACCTATACCTGACGACGTTTCATACCACAAGGTAAATATTATAGTGAAAACTCGTAGCAAGGAGAAAAGAAATTTAGTATATATCTACTGCATCTTTCTAGAATTAATATATACACCCTGTTTCTGAATTGAGTGTTTAATGTTATGCATGTCTCAAATTGTACTAAAAGGTCACTTTAACAGGTTTCCATTTCTGATTCAAGTTTTTTTAAGGATCAGTTGATAGCAGTTTGATAAAAACTAAGACTTTTTGCCTTGTGAAAAGTAAAAAACTTGTATTATTGAACATAATCAGTTGAGACTTTGTACTTTTCTCAGTTCAGAAACCGGCCTATAATGTTAATTGTAAGCTTAATCAAAATATCAATGTAGAAAGAATTATGAAATCAATAAAATGGGTTTACAAGCCTTCCATGGATCTGTATACCTATTGCAGAGACAAGCCTTTTTTTTTACAGATTTAAATACCCTTTGAAATGCAGTTATGATTTGTTTTTGTAATATGTCTTTTACTTATCATTTGAGTGATTTTAGGAGTTCAATTCAAAATGGCTATTGTTTCATATAATCAAGATCATTGTGTGTGTAAACAAAGAGATTCTCTTACAGCGACGAGTACGCTCGTCACGCGAAGTGATAGTGCAACGTGCGGAAGTTGAACGGCGGGAGGGTAGAGAAGGGCGGGAGGGCCGCGAGGTTAGAGAAGGTCGAGAGGGTAGGGAAGGCCGGGAGGGTAGAGACGGACGAGAGGGCAGAGAGGGACGGGGTAGGGAAGGCCGTGAAGGGAGAGATGGGAGAGAAGGCCGCGGAGATGAGTGGGCCGATCCCTGGATGAGAGCTGAACCTGCTGCCAGACGACGTCGACCGCCTTCATCTGATGATAGCTACTCATCTACTAGGTATGTCTAGCTAGTTTTAATATATGTAAAAAACCAAGCAATTTAAAGTATTAAATTCGTTTTCATGTATATGCAACACGGTTGTATTCTAATTTGTTAACTACTATGATATGGTTGATATACAAAGCTGGTTTCCTTTTAAAAGTATTGGATTTTTGGCAATGAAATAAAGTTATTTAATAATTATGAATTACGTAGCCTTTTTGTAATATCAAATTGAGTGACAGAAAATTTCTTAACATTTCTTTTCTTGTTACTGTGAAAAATAGATAATCATATATACAGCTTTACTTGTAAAATACCATCAGCTTCGCAGGAATCTGCATTTACTGTCCTATCAAAGAGTGATTTCAATTTTGCAAATAACTATGATAACGGAATTAAACTTATTATATTTTATTATACAGGAGTATAACTTTGATTAATTAAGACTATAGAATAATGTTACACGAAATCCAAATTAAAGTTACAAATTTTTACCTACCTATGTACAGCAAATTCAAACCAATGTTTGGCCTATGTGTTTAACCATAATTCAACACTAAACAAAAATGATTTCTCAAATTCTTTTTTTACTGTTTTGACATGTATAAGTCTTGAAGTACCTATTTATTAGATATTACAATTTATTTTTATATCAGACCATAATGTAATGAGTTATCAAGTCATAGAACAAGGGTTGTTATTTATGATATTAGTTAGTGTTTCTACGAGGTTGCTGGTATTTTGCATATAAAACCTATAAGTATGTATACTAAACACTATAAGTATGTATAGTAAGTCATATTTGTTTATATGGTAGTTGGATTCTAATCTTCAATGACTCAGATCCAATTAGCACCGAAATAACGTCTTCAAGAAGAATATGACAAATGAATTTGTCAAATATAACAATAGAACACATTTCAACCTTAATTGAAAGTATCATAAATATTACTTTCGACTGCTTAGATGGATTGTCTGAACATCGGTGAAATTAGTTCACTTATAGCGAGCGTAACAAGTGCTTGAGAAATTCGTCAGTCTCATTAGGTCCCGGTAGTCCCGGGTAATTTCAATGGTCAGCCGTACTGCTCTAAAGCATTCGCTCGAATTTCAAAAGTTTATGGATTCGAGCCCTATCTCGAGCATCTGACACTGGCATTGCGAAAGCAAAATATACCAAATATAATAACGTCTGGAAGAAAACTTCGAACATCCGAGACTAATTTCAAATTGTTTCCGCTTCCTCCCCCTTCCCCCGCCGTTGGGTTCCGCTTTCACAACTAACGTCGTGGTGTTTTGGTGATCAATATCTTACGGAACTCACCTCACTCATCTTTGCATGCACGTTTTCATACTCGGGTTGCGCTTACGCGTGTGTACGGACGTGTGCGTGTGTGTATGTATGATTACGGACTCCGCCTTCATTCGGTTCATATTAAACCTTTAATACTGCACTAACTACGTACGCGTTACGTATTCGATTATGACACGGGTACGTAATCTAATCATCACACTGTCGCGAGTGCGTGCACGTTTACGCGTTTACATGCGGTGTCTTTGCATGCGATGCGTGTATCATTTCCCTCGGCTTCCCGTTGACCCTGCAGCTCTTCAAATTCCAGTTCGCGCAGCTCGCGATCGCCGAATGCTCGACGCAAGAGAAGGGCTTCTTCGTCGGCACGACAGAGGTAAGAAAGATTTCACGGCACAGAGTTTATGTAAACTCAATAAAAGAAGAGGGGATAGTTACTTTGGTGGATTGAGTATATCATACATGTTAAACAACTAATATGGCCCACCGGAAGATTTTTATTTATTGGACATGGATCATGCAGCGGCCGAAATTGACTAGATTCTTGTTTAAGATAGGTTTTATGTGATAAATAATTTGTTTGATAAAACTAATAAAACTTTTTTTCTAAAGTTATCTTTTAGGTTAGGGGTTGTTATTGCCATATCTAGAGTTAAATTCAAGGTCTGTCTGGCCACTGACATGTCACGTCCGAGAAAGACTAGGTGTAATACAAATGTAGAATGGATTTGAAATTGGTAAACTAACTGTCCTGTTATAGGACGGGAACAGTATGTTGAGACGAAAACAGGAAACTGTAATATGTTATTAAGAGATTATCTCTGGCTATTCGCAATGGTTTGTCCAGTATGAGACATGTTTCCTCAAAACTTTTCAGCGTGATTTGCAGAATCATCACGTTGTTGGATAATTTCACCTTCAGTTTTTTGTTTTTCGGTTTAAAGCTCGCAACACCCATAATTTTGTGTTGTGCGCCACGAGGTGTTCCAGTGCCTGACTTCCGCACTGGATACCCTGTAAGGGTAATTTACTATATTTAATAACGACTCTCCGCAACAAGTCTTGGATCGCGCGATATAACGTGGATCGCTGGTCATTAGTCTTAAAGGAGTCCTTTTTAAGTTGGTAAATAGCTTTGAAGATATGGTTTCGTGCTGTCTGATCCTTTTTTTTTTTGACGCTGAGAAATGCGTTACGCATACCCGCTTCACCCTGCGCGAGCTCCACGAGTTTTGTGAGATTCTCCCCAGCGAAAGAGCAGGGGCATACACACTAAAACTCAGCGATGTCCCTCACCACGGGGAACGACGCCCGGTAGCGGTCGCCAACGGGACCACTTCCCGCGTCTGTCGTCCCCAATCGACCCACACCGTAACAGGGCGACAGGGCGGTTCAAGGCCTCAGGAATATACGAGTTCAATTCCCCAGACAGGACAAAGGGCGTGCAATACCCAGCGAGCGCGCTAACCCGCCAGAATGCCCCCCGTCAAAGGCGAGAGATGCGCAACTGAGTATCTCCCACCCTAGCCCGTCTGCGAGAGGGAAATTATCTCTCGTGAATCCCTCACCCCGATAGCCCTGGATACCTATGTCCAACCCAGCGTGAACTAAACCAGTCACCGGTATTTCGTTCCTTAGTCACACTCCGCCCGGGCCCGGTCACCCCACACACCGAACAGTGTGTGCGGGAGCCCGGCCTCAACGGTCCCTCTACAGCTTTAAAGACTGCTCTTCAAACTTCTAACTTGTCATGGTTGCGCTTTTATATGTTTTTAATCAGATCGCTATAGCGACTGCCATTATGGCATCGCATAAGAGATTGCGATGATGCCCAAGTATCTGCCTTATCAAAAGTCTTTTCGAAATCTAGGAATGTCATAGAGATATTATTTTGCTTGTGAATGAGCATTCTAGCCGTGTATGATCCTATTTACCCACATTAAGCCCGTTTCACTGTATGGAAATCATCCAGGAGGTTAAGTCTGTTTGTGACGTAGGTCTGTTGTGGTGAAGATCATAAAAAATTGTAATTGGTCTATAATACAAATTCTTTTTGTGTAGTATCACAATTGAGTCTTTTCATGCTTGTGTTGACATCCATTAAAAAATATTTTTTTTAGTTATTTTAATTAGTTCATGCACACACATCTCGCAGCTTTCAAAGCGATGAGCACGTAGATAAAACAGGTTCACTGAAGCAACGCTTAACTATCGCGTTCGTTTAGAACCATTTGTGGGAAGCTGAACGTTAGCGGATTATCAATAATTTAGGTATTCAATCTAATCTATAGGTTTCTTTTTTTTTATAACATGTAAACATAAAAAAATTTATTTAAAGCCTGCGCACATCTTTATTTTTTATTATAGATCACAACAAATAGCCTGTAAAGTATCATGGCGGAGATTTACGTCAGAACAGCCCGCCCTACTTTAGAGTTTTAGCAAACTACCCTATATTTCAGGAATGTATTGACGTATGATACAAACATATTTTAATGAGTTTTATTTAATTTCGTTTCAGCGTTCATTTGTAGTCATTTTGTAAATGATTTTGCACGTAATTCTTCACAAATTTTCTTATACTAAATTATTATTTGGGACAGCACTATAAGTGTGATTTTAAGCCTTGTTATACGAGGGTCAAACTGAAAGTTCTTAGAAAATCAAAAACTGATTACATTAGCCAGTTATTAGTTTTATTATATCTTTTCAAAATATTGTCCATTCACGTCAATACACCGCTGCATGCGATGGAACCACTGGGAAAAGCACTTTGCCCACTCGTCCTTAGGGGTCTCTTCAATGGCATCGCGATACGCAGCCACCGCTTCTTCAGCATTCATAAACCGCTTTCCTTTAAGTTTTTCTTTAATTTTTGGAAATAAATAAAAATCACAAGGCGCGAGGTCGGGCCTATACGGCGGGTGACCCAGTAATTCAACGTTTGATGTCGCCAAATAGTCGATCGTTCGCTTGGCGGTGTGCGACGAGGCGTTGTCGTGGTGAAGGAGGATCCTACTGCGAGGTCGTTTCTCTCGAACTTTTTCCAAGACAAGTGGCAAACAATTGGTAGTGTACCATTCTGCAGAAACTGTTTTTTGATCCTCTAACACAATTGTTGCAAAATGACCTATCCTTCCAAAGAACGAGGCCACCATTTTTTTTCCCGCACTTCGATCTCTCTTCACTTTAGTTGGCAACTCCTCGAAAGGAAACACCCACTGAGCAGATTGTCTTTTGGTTTTAGGATCATAACAGTAAATCCAGCTTTCGTCACCTGTTAGTATGTCGAACACAGCATTTGAGTCACCTCCGTTAAATCTTTCAATCATTTTACGACACCAATCCACACGATGGAGTTTTTGAGCCTCAGTCAAATTATGAGGTATCCACCGGGCGCAAAGCTTCCTGACCGCTAAATGTTCGTGGAGGATTTTGTGCACTTGACTCATACCGATGCCTAAGCTTGTCCGAATCTGTTGATAGGTCACTCTTTTGTCAGTCTCTATCATACGCCGCACAACACAGATGTTATCTTCAGTCGTCGCCGTAGAAGGCCGTCCCCTCACGTAAATCATCAGTGAGATTAGTGCGACCCCACGTTTAAACTCATTAAACCAGTTGTAAACAGTCGCACGAGATGGGGCTTCATCGTGAAAGGCCAATCGTAGTCTATCATAACTTTCTTGTTGACTTAAATGACATCGAAAGTCATAAAAAATCATTGCACGAAAATATTCTCGTGTTAAATTCATGATGACGTGACACAGACAATTTTCAATTTGCCGCCCAAATCGTAAAACAAATGACAAATGAATGAAATATATACTCAGTAATATTGGCAAAGAGTTATATTTTCAAATTTTAGAATTATTTTTTTATTATATTGTTTATAAGTGGCCAGTTCTAAGAACTTTCAGTTTGACCCTCGTATTGATAATTTAAACTGAATATATCGATTGCAAAACCTGAAGTGATGTGTGTATAAACAAATAAATTACTGTTACCGTTAAAATTACAAAAACATTAGAAAACGAACAGTTTGTGAACGTGTACTATGAAATTATTGCGGGGACTAGTTTCTTTAACTGTTGTACCTAATGAAATAAGAATTAATATTTGTGTGAGTACGTGAAGAGTTCGTTGGTGCAGTTGTTACGGTTCGTATGCGCAGGGTTGGGCAGTATTTAAATTACTTGTAATTGAAATATGTAATTAAAATACAAATACGTATTTGGTATTTCTATTTCAATTACTTCCTTAAAATGTAATTTGTAATTTGTATTTCAAATACCTGACGCAGACGTATTTTGTAATTAGTATTTCAAATACTTGAGGCTTCAAAATACATTTAATCTTCATTAAGCGATCGTGAGTGTAAGGCGCGAGAGTGTTATAATTGTAATGCGGATATTACAGTTGGCAACACTGCACCTGTCCGCTATGACAGATGACTTGTCAATGTCAAAGTATAGTCCAAAGATTACAATATTAGACTGGGTATAGTAGTCAAGTCCTAACGTATCGTAACTTGTTCGTAACGGAATAAATAAAGCTTCGTTTCATGTTCTGTGTAGAATACTAAATAAAAAAATATTAAAGTTTTTCGCGATGAATGATCAAAATCCCTCTCCACTATGCCGGATAACGGTGGCGATGGAGTGAACCAAATTAATTCTGAGATATACCCGCTGATTTTGACAACAGATGACAGGCAAAGAATTCAAAATCTTGCCATTCATGCCTTAAAGACAAGATACAAAGATCATGAAATAATGCCTGGAAGCAGCAGGAGTAGCACCACGAGTAAAGAAGATGATTGATTTTATTGTTTTTGACAGCAGAGACAGTGATCAACCACAGACATCTAAAATGGAGTTGGTCACCTTCCTTAATGATAATAGCAAAGAGCTTTCAATTCTTAAGCGATATCCAAATATAAAAAATGAATTTATACAATTCAACACAAGTTTGTACTTATCGGGAATTGTAGAAAGATTATTATCCTTAGCCGGTTTTATTCACTCTCCAGCAAGAGGATGTTTGTCGGACAAATCATTCAAAAATCTAGTTTATATGAAAACTCTGGTTTTGAAAATTCCTAAAAGAATAAGAAAACATTCGACACCCTTTCACATATACACCAGCAGGATCTGCGACCGATGTATGTGAAAGGGTGTCAAAGCTTTTCTAATACTTTTAGGAATTTTCAAATACTAAACATAGCATTATGAATGCATAAAAAAAAACATAACTCATTCACAATTTCTTATTATGTATTTTGTAATTTGTATTTCAATTAAAAATAGCTTAAATACAGTATTTTGTATTTTATATTTCAAATACCTCACTTAAATATATTTAGTATTTCGTATTTTAATTACTTGCAATAAAGTATTTTGTAATTTATATTTCAATTAAAGCAAATCATGTATTTTGCCCAGCCCTGCGTATGCGATTGCAAAAGTTAAGTATCTCTCACTGAGGCGGGTCATTTGATGGACCAAAAAATAATATTTCGAATTTCTCAGTACTGCCATGCGATTCTTCAAACGGATTTCGAACATCGGAAAGCTGAATCCGTGATGAGATTCAAATTTCGTATTCTGTATAACTCGAAAACGGCGCTAGCGCCTCAATGTCGGACGAAATTGAACTAAGATAAGTGAGATTTTGACATTACATGCATAGAGATTGGTAGTCTCAATGGAAACTCGATAGACTACCATCGGACAAACGGTCAAACAATCGCAAAGTAGTGATCGAATTTACGGTAAAATATTCTAAAACTCTATAACATTTAGTTAATTACTTTTTCTCAGTAATATCAATCTCAGTAATCAGTCTACGTCAAGGTGATAAATTTCGACGCTGAAACATGTTTAGGCTAGTTATGAATTTCATATGAGATAAGGTAAATGTTTGAAATCTCCTATTAAAAATGAAGCATGAAAGATTCAGTATACTTACTATTTTTTGTCAGCGCTGCGGATGTTGAACAATTCAATGTTTTTTAAGAGTTTATAATGAATATTAAGTAGATTTATTATTTCACTGAGAAGATATATTTGTGTAGAATACTCTTTTGATGCCGTTTTTTATTTAAAAATACAAATCAAGATAGTTTGATTCTTTCATACCTCTGATATTCCATCCCTAGCTCATTTCGAATTTCACTTTACATCACTTGTGCTACGAAACGTTTAGATAATACCAATTCAAGAATAAGCGGATTCGTTTTCGAAGAAGGTTCGGTCACCTGAGTGAATTCGAATTCGGATTTGGATTTGGATTTTTGCGGAATCGGTCTACAGGAAACAAGTGGTGGGTTCCTGTTTCTTTGTATGTGGAAATCATTTCTGTTTGTTTCTATGCGTAAGGCCTCCAGTACTCGAGAAATTAATCTATATGTATGCCTGCCTATATGCCTCTTGATTCGAAAAGAACAATACCCCTCTATGAATTATGAATTTTACATTGTTTGTTGCTAATAGATCTTTTGTGCACGCAGTAACTAAGTCACAATTTGCACTGATTCACTACCTAAAGATCAGTCTTATAATAGATGAGGATAGGATGCATTTTTCGATTGAAAAGTTAAAGAACTTCAAACATTTTTATTGTTTTCAATGAAGGTCGTATAAGGAATCTAATAAAAAAATATTTGTGGCATTTAAAATTGAAGCTGACGGTGATGTAAATGGTTATATACGTATACGTAGATTATCACCGTCGGTGATAGTACGGGAACGTCGTATGGCGACGGCGCGTGCGACGGCTATGAACCCGCCCGCCCCGCGCCGCCGCGCCCCCTCTCCCGCGGCCGCCAGGCAACTGGCCGCCAACCCCCCGCCCCCTGCATCACACCGGCATAAGGTACCACATCTTTGTACAATACATGTTATAATCTATAACTCGTATGAATGAGGTAGTCTTGTACGTAATAGTTTGCAAATGAGATCGAAAGAGTTAGTTCGCGGTTCCTAAACGAACTAATTCGTTTAGATTCCCAGCAGTTTTAAAACGAGCGTACGATTATAAGGCACTTCGTTCGCTCCTTTTGATACTGCTCCTTCCTGTCGTGACTATATTATTGAACATTGTACATTTACATAAAACTTTTGGATACAAAATTAACATTAATAAACATATGAACTAATATTCATAAAATATATTTTTTAATGTAAATAACTAGGTTTATTGTTTACGCAATGAATAATATACTTTAAAATTTTTGCCTTTCTATTTTTAACGTGACGACATTAATTCAGTCGACTTCTTCGCCTTTACTCCTTCTGTCACGAACTAATAAACTACGGAACGGGAAATGGGAACTAGTTCGCGTAGTTCGTCTGAGGGAACCAGTTTGTTCGCGAACTATATAAGACTAGAATGAGGACAAATGCGTTTGAATTTGCCATTAAAGCGTTAGTGTATCGTGAGATCTTCAAAATGTCAAATATCATACTTAGACGGAGAACTACGCACTTTTTCTTTGAAATAAACGAACTGCGCTTGTTTAAGGTACATTTTTCTAATCATTCCAATAATCATATTAAAATATTATCTGTGCTGTCAAAGGCAGTGTCAGGGACTAATTGTCTGTTTTTAAAAGTAAATTTTTACGCTATGCTAATAAACTATAGTCGAGATAAGTAATTACTTGAGAATATGTCATAACGTAAGCTAATATTTTAAATAGACGAGAAATTGAACGAATTACTAACTGTTAATAGCTAATGATAATAGTATTTTAACTCTATTAATAGTTCTCACTTAATTATTTATTTGGTCAAAACACACGTTAAAATTTTTCACATATACTCAAGTAATTACTTCTTGTTAATGTTAACGAAACTTACTTATTTACTTAACTCTATGAAATTGTGTTGAATAATATTTTTTTATTTCAATAGGATGAATTGGATCCATATGGTCGTAACAAAGCAAGTATAAGAGATAGAAAGAAATACTCGAGATCGTCAACATCTGGATCAGGTAAAATGAACCTTTATTATAAATAGATATTTACCGTTGACACTTTGTTTAGTGTAATTTATATTAGGTTTTTATGCTTTATAAAAAGGATAACATCAATCAATCCATTCACAGATTCGTCATCGTCATCTAGTGAATCGGAAAGCGAGTCGCATTCGTCGTCGTCGTCGGGCAGTTCGACGGCACGCCGAGCGAGGCATGCGAGGTTACTGAATGCTACAGCTAGACCTAGGTGATTCCATACGATATGTTATAATAGCAGTATGTCTATTTTTAATGTTTCTTACCCTATGGATAGAAACGGGCCTGTAACTAAGTCCGCTGTCCGTCTGTCAGTCACAAGGCTTGTATCTCATGAACTGTGATAGCTGGACAGTTGAAATTTTCACACATGATGTGTTTCTGTTGCCTTGTATAACAACCAATATTAAAAGTAGAATAAAATAAATGTTTAAGGGGGGTTTTATCCATACAATAATGACATGGAGCCCTTCATACGCCAGTCCGACTCGCAACTTGGTCGGATTTTACTCAAATTTTTCGAATTATTCCACTTCTGTTCTACTAAATTGATTAGTGTGTTAAAATATGAGTAAACAGAGTGAATGTTACATTCTTTGAAGATATTTATTACTTGAATGTTACGGTTTTAAGGTTAAATGCGAAATCCAACACGGGATTAGCAGTCGCAGTATCTACAGTGACGACCACAAAAGAAATAAATGATAAAGGTGAGTAAACAGTCTGATACAAGAGTGAGTTAATCTTTTATAAGTATCTGTTTAGATCAATTATTAATAAGTAGTGGTCCGCGGAACCTTATAAAAACTATTTATTGGCTTTGAGCCAAAATAAATGAACATTTGAGTAAAATATCGTGTCCACCGCCGTAAGTCGGTGATTCTGCCCATATTTCAATTTAAGAGTCCTATTCACAGTAGTATTCAATAGTTTTTGAAAAAAAAAATCATACTAATTTACGATTTTCTGTGTCCATACATTTGGAACACGTCCGACGAAAATTTTCATCATCCGATTGACTCTTCAAATAAAATCATATTAAAACAATATAATAGGATTCGGGCTCATGTTTTATATCATTTGTCTTAGCAAAGGAATCAACAAGTAAGAAATTAAGAAAGATTTTTTTTTTAATTTTATACATGTGAGAAATAATTTGTGGGAAACGCTATTAAAACCATAATAGATGGAAGGAACTACCAGCTCACTATGTTTTGTTTGAAATGAGGGAAATGTTGGTTGGAATATCTAGTTGGTCACTATATTCATTCACAAGTTCGCAGTCTACTAATAGGAGAAACAAGCTGGGTCACGTATCCTAAATCTACCCAACAACTGAGGGCAGTCAATTTTGTGCGTAAATATTTTCGACACGAAGGCCAAATCAGTAAAGTCCCTGCGTTCTTCTAACGAACTTAATCCAAAGCGCTCTTCTTGTTTTTTATCGGATGCCACTTTGTTTTTAGAAAGACCGTTTACGAACATTAGGTTTCGCATGAACCTTTTTTGGATACGCTCGAGTTGTAGAGTTGTAGTGGATACGCTAGAGTTGTAGTAAAATATTTCGAACCAGGGAGTTGTAAATAATAATCTTAGTTCTGTTAAAACGTAGCCCTTTTATATTTCTTAGTACGAATCCTAACATTTTAGATGTACGACTTGTTATACAATCCATGTGAAACACAAATGTCATACTGGAAATAACTAAAAGGTTTAGAACCTCTGCTTTAGACTGTCCATAAAATATGGAAATGTAATTGTAGATATACTTCATTTATTTCTTGCAAGATATGTCATAAATATTTTTCATGAATTTCGATTGAAACAGAATCGAGTGGGAAGAAACGCGCGGCCACGTCGCCAGTGAACACTGCACCCGCCAAGAAATCCGTGTCAAGACGTGAGGAGTTACTCAAACAACTGAAAGCCGTGGAGGACGCGATCGCTAGGAAGAGATCCAAAATATAACGTTACTTCAAATAAGGAACAAGTTTGGGTGTAGCAAAGCCGACAGTAAGAATATTTACTGTTTGTGAGAGACTCTAGGTTCAATTAGCCTACTTATGTATTTCAAACAATCTGAGAAAGCATACAGCAGAACCAATGTCGTACAAATAAGCATTTAGTTAATACCGTTAATGACTTTGATCTGATCTTAAAAATGGAATATCTGTAATTGCTTTTATTAACATCATGTTGTATAATTATAATGTTATTATCATGGGTAGCTATGAATGTTGTTTTCATATGGTATTATTACTCTTCTATTGGATATGTCAGGGGAAGACTTCAATTGATATTTCTATTTTCTTTCATTACAGCAATGAAAGCCTAGATAGTAGGTTTAAAGTTGTATTGATAATTCAGCTGTATAATGAAAATGTTCAAGAGCTAAAGAATAAAAATACTTTGGTAGAAAAATAGTAGTTTTATTGATCGATTTTTAAACATATATTTGCTAATCTATATTTCTTAGAAGATACATTGCGAACTAGCACTTGATTTAACTTTTTCATTAATAAAGTATTCAAGGCGTTAAAGGCTATGAAGCCCACACCACAACTTCGTGATTCGGAGAAACTGTAACCTGCTTGTGGTAAAAATCCTAATATTTGTCTAGAACATGTATAGCGACAGGATTTGATATTTGATGGTAGCCATAATTCTCGCATAACTTTTACATATTCTGATGGTTCCCTTGCACTTGATTTCTTTGATGTAATGACCTGCAAAGTAGAATTTTTCCTGATAAAATATACCAATGAATTAATAACATTAATTGAGCAACACATATACTAGCTGTTTGCTCGCATGGAATTCAGTTATTATCACTCTTCATATTTTCATACCTTATTTTTACCCATTTAAGCCTATTTTTCACAATAAAAACTATTCAATGTAAAGACGTAGGATACTGAACGAATTTTAATGAAATTTACACAGATTGAGTAATCTCAAGGTTCACTCCATTTAGTGGTCTCGACAGTGGGTCGTTTCAGCAACTTTACAATGGGAGCTAGATATGAGGTGGATAAGGTTACTAGTGACAAGCAGGTAGGCAGTAAAATGGCTTGACCTAATGGAGGTTGATCATTAATAAAACTGCTTTACTCACTCAACCAACCTTTGTATATGACTAAAGGACAAAAAGCATTTCAGGCTCTTATTGTATATGCATACCTGTTTTTCTGCTTTTTTAAGTTTATTCCTTCTCCTTTTTAATTGCTTAAGTTGTCTGCGATGTTCAATTCTCTTTTGCTTTCGTATTTTCTCATTAGGGTCCTCACATGGCAGTTCCTGAGGCATTACCAAAAGATCACCTTCTTCTGGCATACATATGATAGCATTCTGTTTTAAATTACCTTTTTTTGCTATTTTTAAATAGACTGGTACTAAACATGAAGCTGTGTTTTCATTCTGTGGTAATTTTTTTTTGTTAATAATACAGTCCTGAAAAAAGTTAAGGTGTATTATGAATGTTTTATATATTGTATTTTCTGAAATCATATGTGGGGGTAGTTTTAATCATCACCAGATGAGGAGAAAGTTCAAAAGTATACCTGCAAAGTCTGCAAAAGTTTTCTATCCCGTAGCACAAAGAAATCATTAACAGAGCTGTCACTCCAATCTGTCAGCAGAATTTTCCATGGGCAAATAAAAGGAGTCACAATACCTAATTTCCTATAGTTCACTCTTTTACTTGGTGGCAATCTAAAATATTTATTTCGTAGTTCAGTCTCTATTCTTTTTTCTTCTTCTTTTCCAGATTTAGAATCAGGTGGTAAGTAATAATCTCCCATTTCCAATGCTAAATGTTCACTTTCTCTGTGTCCACCAGATCTTGCACCAAACATAATAAAAGTTTGCCAGAACTGAAGTCCATATCCAGGAGGAATTATTATATCCCAGCCGCTACCATACCCTATAAACAAATAAACAATTATTGCCATAAGTTAAAGTAAGAAACTGTTCTGGTAATAATATTTTTAAACTCACATGATTTGTATACATTATAATTATATGCAATCGGGCTGCTGTAACGTAGCCGAAACGTCGAGGTAAATTAATTGTTTAAAAAATGCACGAACAAGACCCGATTGCATATAATTATAATGTTCTGGTAATAGTTATTATTTTACCTATTTTCTTAGATGAGTGTTGTGATCCAGGTCTTTGTATAAGAACAATTGGAATACTTTGTAGAATTGGATCATCTATATTAATCTCACCAGGAACAAGCTGTGTTTTAGTGATATGTTCTATAAATTGTGTGTTAGATAATTTCTGTTTTTTTATACTATCATGTACATCACAATCCCATAAAGGAGATGATGATACTGACGTTGGAACATCTAAATATGGTTTCACGTCTAGCGAGATATTTTCTATCACAGATTTCGTACGATGTTTAGGTCTACATAACCGAGGGTCTCGTACTACTAAGCCAACTACAACATTGGAAGGTATTTGAGATGGTGAAGTTGCATTCTTAATATTTTGCCAGTAGTTATATCTTTCATTTAAATACAAATTAGACAACTTAAGATTTTTAATCCACTTGTTTTCTTTTATTTTTTCTAAATTATCTATACATTTTATACTATGTGCTAACACTGCATGACTTTTAGGTCCTGTCATCCGAAATCTGTTAAATGTTAAAGGTAGAAATTTTATCTTTACATTTTCAGAAAAATTATTCATTAGCTTTCTTCTTTTTTCTGTACAGTGAAAGGTATCATTAATAAGATCTGTTAGCAATAATTCCACTTGTTTTATTTGTGACGGGTGAACAAATAGCCATAAAGATTTACTTTTATCATTTCTATCCCATATAAACTGCAATTTACCTATGTAGCTAAAAGGATATGTATTTTTTTCATATAAATGAATTGACCCTTCCCTTTTACCATCTGTGTAAGCTTTAGCACATATGCCTAGACCACAGGAGTTACTAGTTACTGAGCTAAATAACTCTTTTATTGCTGCTTCTTGCCCCATTATATGTACAGGTGTATAATAAGATATATCCTGTATAAGGCAGTGGGCAGAAGTAGCTCTATAGCAGGCCCTAAAAGCTTTGTCACAGGGAGCATACGCCATGCGATAACCCCATCTTTCAATCATATGAAATCGTTTGGCATGCCATATGTGTGTCTCCAACCAAATATTGTTCTTTTGCCTTCGGTTATACTCTTCCAGCAAATTACTCGGACGTCTTCTGTATTTTCTAGATGGTCGTTTTTGTTTTGGGGGTAAACCGCTTTTCTTTAATTGCTCCAAATGTCCTGCTCTAAGTTTGTTTGGCAGTCTTTTAGCGTTGTGGCTCATGACCCGACGACGCATATGGACTGGTAAATTTTGGAAGATTAATTTTGTTTTACTTGGTCGCAGTATGCTTTCTGTCATCGCAGCTATTTCTATGCTTCTGGAGGCAGCAAATTTTAAAGTATTTGCAGTATATGGAAGATGTTCCGTACCACCTATGGAGGCATCAAATTCTGCGGTTTCGTCCATTTTAATAGAAGTTTTAATAATTGAGATAATAAAAAAAAAAATACTACATTTAACACAATAAAATCCACGGAAAAACAGCATTAACCTCAAAAACCACAAACTTTTTTTGGTAGATTTTTTCGTAAAGGAAAGGCAAAGAGAGCTTAGCCCATACAGCCATTGTCTGTTGTACAAAAATTTTCTTCGATATCATAGAAAAAATATACCGTAGCAATATGAAGACTAAAAGCAATGAACGCCTTTTTTGTAGTGGAAAAGTATAATCAAATTATAATGTCACAAATCGAGTTAAATGTCAGATCAAAATATTTCACTTTTTGTCCGTTATGTCGATTCATTTCATTTTAACTTTACATGTAAAAATTAATTAATTTACTTGACATTGGCAGAATTGTGTGAAATGCGCAGATAAGCCATTAATTAAAAAAGAAGAAGAAGAAGTCCGTTATGTCATAATTTAAATTTTATATATCTCCGATAGTTGACACGACATAGTCGTAAATAGGTCTAAAACAACATTGATTATTCAATAAATGCTGAAGAGTACGCGGGATATTTTTGTTAAGAAGTGAAGACTTCTTGGTAGTTTTTCGATCTCTTTAGTGTTTTGTACCTACTTGACGTGTCTGTCATTCCTGTTTGTATCTGTCTTTATGTTTTGCTATTATACTCGTATTTTATACTTCCAATCCGAGCTTTATCATTTCTTTAATATGGTAGCAGAGAATTTCAGAAGAAATTAAAGTGTCGGCAAGAATTTTAAGAGTTGTTTTGGTGGCTAAACCAATTGTTTAAAAAAAATTCGTGAAAACTTGGCCTGCAGAAATGTCAAACAAAATGGACCAATCTATAGCAGAGGTCTCCAAGGTTCGAATTGGGAACTTAGACTCTAAGAAATTCAATACGTGGAAGTTCAGAATTTTAATGGTACTAAAGGGGCTACAGGGTGCAAAGGAAATATTGGAAGGAATCAAACCGAGGCCAATATTATTGCCAGGTGCCACACCAGAAGATACTGCGAAGTACCAGAAAGAAGTACAAGAGTATGATAAACTAGACAGCATGATATCCATTCTGTTAATGTCTAACTTACCAGATGACATTTTAGAGAAAATAATGCGCTTTACCTATTCTAAGGACATGTGGGATGAGCTACACAGACTTTTCGGAGGGTGCACTGTTGACCAGAGCTACGAGCTGTGCCAGACTTTCTTTTCGTACAAAAGAGATGCCAAGCATGATATGGCGACGCATATTTCGACTTTAAAGAGTTATTGGCACCAGTTCAATCAGTCGCTGAATCTTGATAAGGAATTACCTGATATTCTATTGATATACAAGATTCTCGACACTCTACCGTCGGAATACCTAAACTTTAAATCAAGCTGGCTACTGATGACGAAGAATGAGCGCACAATTGAAAACCTGACGATACAGTTATGCTCACACGAGAAGATCCTTGCAAAAGAAGAGGCAAATAACTACGGTGAAGGCAGTAGTGGAGAAGCATTATTGGTAAAAACAGGCAAAAAGAATACAAGAAGCAAGATAGACAAGAGAAAATGCAATTACTGTGGAGAACTAGGGCACTTTGTGAGAAAATGCAAGAAGTGGATCAGTGATGGCAAACCGAAGAAGTCAGAGAACAAGACATCAGCTGTTAATATGACTATCTTGGCCATAACTGATAAAATTGTGAAAGACTCGACTAATTTTTACGTGGACAATGGGGCAACCAACCATGTAACAAATAGAGACGATTTTTTCGTAGATTTTAGCATTTTTAAAAGTAAGCATACAGTGACAGGAGCTAATGGCCAAGAGATCCAAGCCCTGGGGATCGGCACAATTAGAGCAGAAGCCGAAGTTGAAGGAGAACTACGACAAATCACATTGAAGAATGTCTGGTATGTCCCTTCTATCAGCAGAAATCTCTTTTCTGTGCTAGCTGCCCATGACAACTCAGATAATAGTACCTTTGAGTCAACTCCGACAACATGCGTTATGAAAGTCGATGGTGAGAAACGACTTGTTGGCACTAGAGAGAAAGGGGGCGATCTCTACTGTTTAAAAATGAGATGCCTGAAGCCATCAATGATAGTGAACCAATTGACTACCCCAAATTTACTTCAGCTGTATCATGAACGTTTAGGCCATCAAAATAAAACGCACGTCAAGAAATTTTTAGAGAAAGAGCTCAATATTAAAACGGAAGCAAATCACGAGCTTTGTGAAGGCTGTATTTACGGTAAGTCTCATCGCTTGAAGTTCGGAACCAGAGAAAAGGCGACTCGACCTGGGGAACTGATTTGTACAGACGTTTGTGGACCTTTCCCTGTATCTTTTGCGAAGAATCGTTATTTCGTGCTTTTCAAGGATGTCTATACTGGATACCGTTGGGTATATGTAATGCATGAAAAGTCAGAAGTCTATCAAAAATTATCACTAATGCTAGCTGAAGTCGAAACAGCTGGTGTGAAGGTGAAAGAAATTTTAAGCGACAACGGAGGAGAGTTTGATAATAGCAAAGTTCGGACTATTTTAGAGAAGAAAGGCATCAAACAAAGATTTACGACGCCTTATACACCGCAACAAAATCCCACTGAAAGAGAAAATAGAACAGTTGTGGAGATGGCAAGAGCCATGATGTACGCTCATGAGGAATTACCAGCAAGCTTATGGGCGGAACTGATTCTAACATCTGTATATATTTTGAACAGAACGGGTCCGGGTCACAACGGGAAATCGCCGTATGAATCATGGCATGGCAAAAAGCCAAGAGTAAGCCATTTAAGAGTGATTGGAACAACCTGTTATCCTCATATTGCAAAAGAAAAACGTCGAAAATTGGACAAAAAGGCTCAGAAAGGGATCCTAATTGGATATGACGGTGACGAAAGTTATCGCATTTGGGACAGTGACAATTTTAAATTGATAAGGTCACGAGATGTTATATTCGAGGAATACCCCTTGCTCAGAGAAGTTGAATGTTTGGAAGAGGACAAACCAGAGGCCAAATGTCTGCCTGAGCACAAATCTGTAATTTTTCCAGATGACTGCAAGCAAACACAACAAGATTTAAATCTTGAGTTTCTAGGAATTAAGTATGGAACTTGTGAAGATATTGCTAACAGTAGAGCTTATGACGAACCTGAAATTGGAGAACAGTTAGAAGTTTTAGTGAACGACGAAAACAATAGCGATAATCAAATCGGTAGAACAACTGAGATGGAGTATCACGAAGCTGAAGAGGAGTCGATTACTGAGCCTATAAGAGGACACTCCATTGATGCTCAAGATACAGACGACGAAGCTGATGACGCTCAACTCTCTGTGAACGACGTAGAGAATGAAGGCAGAATGACACTACGTAATCGCAGCAATCTCAGACCGCCAAATCGATATCGTGATTATGTCTGCAATGTTTGTCACGTACAATCTTCATCTGTTGATCCTCTGTCAGAACCTACAAATTTCAAAGAAGCAATTGAAAGTGCCGAGTCAGATAAATGGCGAGTAGCTATGGAGAGTGAGATTAACTCTCTTAAAGAAAACCAGACATGGGATTTGGTAGATTTACCCAAAGGGAGGAAAGCGATTCCTTGCAAGTGGGTGTATAAAATCAAAACCAATCCGGATGGCACAGTACAAAAATATAAGGCTCGCCTTGTAGTCAAGGGCTATACTCAGAAGGAAGGAGTAGACTTCTACGAGACATTTAGCCCAGTAGCAAAATTAAGCACTGTAAGGGCATTAATAAGTGTTGCTGCACAGGAAAAACTAACTTTGTCACAATTTGACGTATCAACGGCTTTCCTCTACGGAAATTTGAATGAGGAAATTTATATGAAACCTCCAGAAGGGTATGATGATAGAACAGGAAAAGTGTGTAAGCTTAAAAAAAGCTTGTATGGTTTGAAACAAGCACCTCGGTGCTGGAATCACTGCATCACACAATATATCTTGAAGATAGGATTCAAGCAGTGCGACAGTGATCCATGCCTCTTCATTAGAAATAAGGATATTGAAGAAAAGAAAATAATCCTTGCATTATTTGTAGACGACGGATTGATAGCGTCTGCAAACCCAAATGAAACGGAAAAGTTTTTGAGTGAGTTAAGACATTGTTTTAAAATTACCACTCAACCTGGCTCGTATTTTTTGGGTATTGAGATTAAGAGGGAAACTGATGGATCTATCAAAATCGATCAAAAAGGATACTCGAGACGTCTGTTGGAGAGATTTGATATGCAAAACTGTAAGGCTGCAGTAACTCCTATAGTTAAAGATATTCAAATAACCGAAAAAGAGCAGGAAGCAGCACCATTCCCCTACAGACAGGCAGTTGGTGCGCTTTCGTACTTAGCAATTGGGACACGACCTGACATATCGTATGCTGTAAGTGTTGTCTCAAGAACCTTAGACAATCCAAAATCAGATGATGTGGCCAAGGTGAAGAGAATCTTTCGCTACATTAAAGGGACAGTCAATAATGGTATAAGATACCAATCTTCCACCGCGTCAAAATGCATCCAAACTTACAGCGATGCAGATCATGGGGGAGATCCCACTACAGGACAATCTACGTCTGGAATGGTCTGCCTTTACTCGAAAGGGGCCATAGCTTGGCAGAGCAAAAGACAGAGGACGGTCGCGATTTCCTCCACAGAGGCAGAGATAGTTGCTGCCAGTGAAGCGGCCAGAGAGCTGATATGGCTAAAAAAGATTATGAAGTTCATGGTAGCTGGAGAAGTCTCATCAGAACTTTATCTTGATAACGAGTCAGCTATCCGCTTGGCCCACGACCCACCTTACGAATGTCACCAGAGGACTAAACACATTCGTTTGCGGCATTTCTTCATTCGGGAGTGCGTGACACGGGGAAACCTCAAGGTGCTGAAAGTGAAAGCAAATGAGCAGCTTGCAGATTTCCTGACGAAACCACTTTTCAAGCCAAGACTGAAAGAACTTTGCTTACAAATAGGTTTGAAAAACGAGACGGGATGTTAAGAAGTGAAGACTTCTTGGTAGTTTTTCGATCTCTTTAGTGTTTTGTACCTACTTGACGTGTCTGTCATTCCTGTTTGTATCTGTCTTTATGTTTTGCTATTATACTCGTATTTTATACTTCCAATCCGAGCTTTATCATTTCTTTAATAATTTTCAGGTTTATGGTAAATATCCAGAAGGCGATCCATGAAAAGAATCCTAGCAAGAGAAAAATGACTATTTGGGTTTAATTTTCCACGAAAAGAAACACGGAGGAACTTGGTTAGATGTACTTATAATGGTATAAAACATTACATTTTTGGTTACAAACTTAGATGCTATTTGACGATCACATGGCGTCCCCATAGACAACCCAAACACTCCCCTGTGTAGGGATGTGTATACCTATAATAATTGTGGGATAGTGATGGCGAATCGCCACAACTACATTCAAAGAAAAGATGATCCAAAGTTTGGCTACTTGAATTGCAATAATTGCAGATAGGTGACGACACTATATGTATTAATTTTATGAAGGTGAGCATTAAAACGACAATGTCCAAACCTGAGAAGAGAAATTATAGTATAATATTTTCTGTATAGTGGGATCCCAAATTAAACCAAGGTTTTGTGATTTTTTTGTTTATT